AAGGACAGGAAGGAGGGAGGAAATGACAGGAGGAGGAGGGAGGAAAGGGGGGAGGCACAGGGGGCAGATTGGGGGCTGCCTGGCACTTAGCACTCCCGCATGGGGCTGGGAATGCAGGTGCAAGGACACCTGGCCAGGTCCTTGGTCTTGAGCAGCTGGTCCCCTTGGCACTGGTACATGGTGGGACACCGACCCAGGATGTCCACCTGGGCAGGCAAGCAGGTGGTCAGCCCCCTGCTCCATCCCCTCCCCCTCTCCCTACCCCCCCACACCCCTCACCTCCTCGAGGGTCTCAGGGCCCTGGAGCCCCCCCGCATGGATCTGCGGGAGGGTCACCACCGCCTGCTTCACGTTCAGTGCCCAGCGAGGCTCAGGACAGTGGGGACACGGGTGGGCCATGCGTCCAGCATGCAGGATGAAGCAAAGTGGGCTGTGGCCCAAGGTGGCACTGCAGAACAGTAGCAGGTAAGGGGTCAGGCGACCCACAGCGTCCTTGTCCTGCTGCACATCGCCCCGACCCCCACACTCCCAAACGGCCGGCTTCTGCCTCCTCTCCTCAGCTGGGGCCACTCTCCCCAGATGTGTCACCGCTGGGACAAAACCAGGTACACGAGCCACATGTACCAGAGTAAAAGGCTGAGCCTCCCGGGCTGCCCACATTCCAGAGCTTCCCAGGGGACCTCGGACATGTCACCTCAGGAACACACTGACAGCTTTGATCGGATGACTCCTGAAGTCCATTCAGGCCATGGCAGATTTCTCTGGACTCCCTTACCTGTCTACAGACAGACAGACAGACAGACCCTCCAAAAGGAGCCACCTATCATCTGGGATGAACTCGGCTGACTTCCAGTAGTGTCACTGAGCAGGGATGAGTGACGCCCATCACAGGACAGAGACAAGCTTTGTCCCCAACTATCCTAGCTCCCTCCTCCTCTGAGGACTTGTTTGTCTTTCCTAAATTCATCTCCTCCCCCACTGCCTGTGGCTCCTTCTGCCTCCCTGAAAGCTGGCATGTGGGCCCAGACACCCCCACTTTGGGGCACATGTCCTTTTCCCCACGACACCATGTGCCACACACCTCTCCTCCTGTCACTTGCCTGAGGCCACTTCATTTCACAACCCAGCTACACAACCTGCGGAGGTAGAGAGAAAGACACTCTGTCCCCTACAAAGCCCACCAAGGGGTCCTTAGCACCCCCACCCTGCCACAGACGCTCAGGACAGCACAGTGACTACTCAGTGGACCCCGGTGGGCTGGCTCTGATGTCAGAGGCAGGGAGGTGACCTGAGACTCATCATTCAGACAAAGAAACGGGGAGGACAGTGACCACAGAGTAAGGGGCAGAAGAGCTGGGACCCAAGGCCTTCGTGTGACCTCTCATCTCACCTGGGGTCTGGTCTCTGGCAGGTGGGGGAGGGGAGGCATGGACGCAGAAGACGGAGATGGTCCAGGATGGAGGAGAAATAGCCAAGGCCCCAAATGCACCAGCTAGGATGGCAGAACACCGGCCAGCTACCTCCCTGGGAGGTCCCGTCCCCTAGGGTGTCTGGGGGGTCCTAAGGCAGTGCCCTGGCTCTCAGGCCTTGGGTTAAAGAAGTGCTAATGACGCCCACCCCTGCCAGGAGACAAGTGTCAGTCTGGCCTCTAGGAAGTGACAAGTCCCAGCCCCCTGGCTTAGCATTTCTGATGAGATGCTGAGGGACAATGGGCCCCATGGAGACCTCCCTCAGCCTTTCAGCCATCTGCCCCTGGCTGCACCCCTTCCCAGTATTTCAAGGACAAAGGCTTTATTTTTGAACAAATGAATTTGCAATAAAAAAGGAAGAAGGATCTGGGGGTATTGGGGTTGTGTCCAGGCCCTCTGAGCTTGGAGGCCACAGGCCTCTGTCAGGGGCCCTGGGAAGCAAGGCCTAGGGACAATTCCAGGCTTGGCTGGGTCATAAAAGGGGCTTAGCTGGGGGTGGGAGAGGAAAGGGTCTCCACCACCTCGGCAGGCCAAGGGAGGGGAGACAGGCAGTCCCCACCAGCCACAGCCTTCCAGAACCTACTCAGGGGCCGTGAAATCTGCTGGAGGTCAAGGTGAAAAATTTGCAGTGATTCCCCTGTCTCCTCACCTGGGCCCATGAGTTGACTAAAAGCAGGGGAAAAGCTTGGCCTCCCTGCCTCCATTCTGCATCTGGCTCTTTTGCTCTGAGTCTCTCTCTCCTGCAGTCACCTTGGCTTCCAGGAAGGACAGGACTGACCAATAACATCCTTATGACAGGGGACTGAACTACCTCCCAGGAAGCAAGACAGGCCACCCCCCCCCAAATGAGGACCATGACCCATGATGACGAGGCTGTACCCTCGAGCAGGAGTGATCAGTCATCTCAGGGGACGACATTGTCCCCTCAAGTGATGACAGAGATGACATACCTCCCAAAACCCTCGCAGAACTAGAACTGAGGTAACATCAGCTGGGCCACAGGCCACACTTGGCCTGGGACTGCTTCGTTCTGCACAACTGGCTCTCCCTGCCCCAATCCCTCCTCTGCTTAAACCTGAGGCCCATGCGCCCTCCTCCCTGGGCCACATCATAACCTCCTTTCCCTGCCCCTCCCCACTACTCTCTCTTTATTTGGTGTATTGGGGAAGAGCCAGAGCCTGACGTGGGGGACACCGGAGTGGGGCCTCTGGCCTAGGACTCCAGGTACACCCCACCAGTAAGAGGCCACGCGAGGCTATTTGGTGTCACCCAAGATTCCTCTGCCATAACAACTCCCAATTGTCTCATCAATGATCACTTAACGAAATCAAAGCATGAAGCTGAACGCCCTTGAGCCAGAGTCCACGATAGCATCTCTGTTGTGGGAAGGGGCCTCCCTAACTGGGTTTGCCAGTGTAACTCAGGGCCTGGCGGCCAGGCCTTACCTCAACTCTCTGAGTCCTTCAGAACCTCCATCTGGGAGCCCACGACAGACGTCACCTGGAAGTCTTGGAGCCGGAGCAGAGAACACCACGAGTTGCTGGCCTCTTCTGGGCACCTCAGAACCTCACCAGCACCCCACCCACAACGCAGTTCCAGGGCCCAGAATAACACTTGGCCTGTGTTGGGGGGCTAGGCAGAGACACCCCCGCCCCGGCCAGGCACCTACTACTGCTGAATGTTGGGAAAATTTTTATATTGTCCACAAAGCCCCTGAAAGTTTGTTTGAGTGATTTCTATGACTGTACACCACAAAAAAGTGGTGACTGTACAATATGTATTATATGTAGATATATATTATATAGATAGATAGACATTTTTATATATATTAGGGCAGGGCATGGCAGCTCACCCCTGTAAATCCCAGCCCTTGGGAGACTAAGGCAGAAGGATCTAGAGTTCAAGGCCTGCCTGGGCTACATTTGTAAAACAAACAAAAAGGCTCTGCACACAATGAATAAAAGCCTCAGTTGTCCGAGTGTCACGAAGGTTGGGAGCGTGTTTGTTTATTGCAATAAAAGATAAACTTTCTAACTATGAAAAGTACTATCACCCTAAAGCGTGCCTTCCTAACACAATTGATTCCACGTTGTAAAAACCCACTACTTTCATTTTCAGAGCTCTTTTAGGTTCACAGCGAATCTGAGCTGCAAATCCAGCAGGCTCATGTACCCAGCACCCACGGCCTCCAGCCTCCCCACTGCCAGCTTCGTGCTGTGGCGGGGCTGCACGGTACGCTGTGAAAACTTACTGTCCTAAATACTTACGATTTTTACAATGTCTGTGCTAAAAATATACCTCACTGACAGACCTCCCAAGTGGCTGTGAAATTTTCATTTTCACAAAACATCATCGAGATAAACCAGTTCTCTGTAATCTTGACACTTGATATTACCAATTTTCCTTAAATGTTAAAAACAAAGAACAAATGAAGAAAAGCACAGCAACAGAGTTTGCTTTGTGAAAACCGGCCCTGCAGGAAAAAAAAAAACCAAGCCGTACAGACTGATATGAAAGGCTGGCAAAGGTTCCACTCAAGTGACCAGGACTCAGACATTCTGGAAGTTCAAGAATTTAAAGGTGACTCTGAGCCACCCCACAAAAGACCTGGTCCCATGGTTCACATGAAAACACAACATGGCCGTTCTGAGAAACTGTTATCAGCAAGTACTCCAGCCACTTCAAAAGTGCTTCACATGCCAGGCACCCGTGGCTCACACCTGTAATCCTAGCTACTCAAGAGGCAGAGATCAGGAGGATCAAGGTTCAAAGCCAGCCTAGGCAAATAGTTCTTAAGACCCTATCTCAAAAATACCCAGCTCAAAAATGGGCTGGCAGAGTGACTCAAGTGGTAAGAGCACCTTCCTAGCAAGCATGAAACCTGAGTTCAAATCCCAGTACCTAAAAATAAGTGTTTTACAGTTTTACAGTACAAGGTAAGGCTTCAGGTGAAAGTAGAGGGCCATTTATGTGGGAGGGTTTGTCCAAGAGATGTGACAGTCATTGGAAAAGGGACACTTTTGCTTACAAGAACATGGGGGGAGCTTTGAGAAAATGTTGATGAAAACAAAACCACGTCCAGTCAGTGAATGTAGCCCAGGATTCTGCATGAGGAACACCTCTGCTGGTCGCCACACACGCACCTTTAACCTGAGCCCAAAGACCCAGGTGTTGCAAGGGCGGCGTCCAGCCAGGATAAGACCAGGGCAGGCCTGGAGGCCCATGGGTCTTGTATTTCCACCCAGTCAGTTCTGTGCCCAAAGGCTGTGACTCTTCAGCTCTGTCCCCACTTGGGCCTGCAGACATGGCCCTCAGTCCTCCCTAAGGCACGGCCTGTCCTCGTCCTGTGATCCTTCTCACTCACTTCTTCCTAAATGCTGCCACTCCCCTGCTGGGTCACTGAGGCACCAAAGTGGTGCCACTTCCCCACAGTCTCTTGCTGACTATGATATTCTTCCCGAAGCTCTTGCCTCTCAGATGAAATGGAGGTGGAAATTCAGAGACAACCTTGGGTTGTCCAGAGATACTCACCCTCAAGGCCATCAGACACCGACCAAGCACATCAAAGATGGCCACGCCTTGGAGGCCCAGGCCAGTCCCCTCCTCCCGGGCCCCCTGCGGGCTGGTGCTGGAATTAGCCAAAGCTCGGTAGGTATATCTGGTGCCCACTGCAAGGTGGGGCCCCACTGACCCTGAGGGCAGAAAGAAGCTGATGTCAGTAACAGAACCCACTGGTGTCACCTGAAACCGTCTCCAGACAGTGTTCAGTGTCTCTTTAGGGGACAAATTCCTCAAGCTGAGAAGCATTGACCTACAGGTACATTAACTCATATTCCATGGTCAGTTTTGAGGTGGGTATTTCTCTTACAGAAGAGGAGTCTAAGGCTCAGAGAAGTCAACTAACATACAAAGGTCACCCAGCATTCAAGCCTTGGTACTCTGATTCGTCCCTACTGCCGTGATGGACACCAAGTAGGGGTGGGGCTCTCTGAGGTTTTGTTGTGTTTGTCATCATTGTTTTGTTGTATCTGGGGACAGGATATCACTATGTAGCTCCTCCTCCCTCAGCTTTGTGAGTGCTGGAATTATAGATGTGCACACGACACTCGGCCAGTCATCTGGATCTTTGTAGGAGGCAGAGCTGTAGAGCTGGCCAGCCTGGATTGGCAGAGTGGAGGGTCTTCAGGGGAAAAGCCAGTTTGGGGAGCAGAGAAGCCTGTCATTGTCTGGACAAATCTCTAACCTTCTATTTAGGCCAATTTTGAAACCCGAGGACACACTTCATCTAACTAATGTCTCACTCAGTGTCCTTGAGACAGCCACACCTGTGCTCCTAGGACGCTTCTGACCTTGCAAAGATTCTGCTCTTGAGGTTTCTCACCTGTTCCACCCTGGGATGCAAATTGTCTTGGCCAAAGACCTTTATCTCACCTGGGGACTAGAAGGTCCCAGGAAATTCCTCTGGCCTGTGGGCTGGGATAGCCCTGAGCGCTCTGCTCTGGGCTAACTCTTCTCTGACACTGTGGACTGGCTTTGGGAGGTGGCCCTCTGGGGATCCCTAATCACATCTTGCAGCTTTGCCACCCCCTCTACCCCTCCCCAACCTGACTCAGGCTCCTTGTTAGAGAGGCGTGGATGGGGGCGGGGCATCCTGAGACGGCACTCACCTGTGCACGCAGTCATGCATGTGGCCTCCTGTCCAGCCGGCGGATCTGGTCTTTCTGAAAGCACAAATCAGATGGCAACAGGGTGAGGCCGGAAAGAGGCATGGGGCAGCCCCATGCTGTGGGCCACCTGTTCCTGGAAGAGATATAAGTGTCCAGGGGACCAAGGGGACAGGAAGAGATAGTGCCAGCTCTTCTGGCCTCACGGGGTCAGAAGTGATCTCCCCACCCCTTGCCCTTCCTGCTCTGCCCCACCGTGGGTACTGGCACCATTGTTCCCGTTGCTTAAGTCGGGGACCTGGGGGTCATTGTTATATCCACTCCTCCCCGTGTCACAACCAAGTCCAACAGCAAGTTCTTCCAATTCCATCAGCAAAAGCAGGCTCCTGTCCTTCCTTCCTCCCTTCCTTCCTCCCGCCTCCCTCCCTCTTTCTCTCCTTTCCCCCACTGGTTGCTCTGCTCACCCATCCTTCCACCCATCTCCATCTACCTTCCCATTCATCTACCCATCCATCCTCCCTTCCTTCCATCCATCCTTCCATCCACATTTCTCTATCTCCACAGCTGTCATTCTAGGCAAAACTATAGCTTCTCTTACTTGGATAGCCAAAATAAATGTGTCCACCATTCAACCACCTGCAGAAGCCGGAGTCATGGTGAAAAGTAGAAATCAGATCACATTAATTCCCCATCTCAAATGCCCCTGAGTCTCAGCAGCATCCTCCCAATAAAATCCCACAGGCCAGCCTCTGCCTGCCCCTCTAGCCCATCCTCTCCAAATCCGGGCCTTTGCACATGCTGTTCCCTCCTGCCTGGACACTGTTCCTCTCGCTTTCCATGTCCCAGGCTGCTTTAGGTCTCAGCATAAACTCTCCCAGGACCCCACCCTGCTATAGAAGGTCCCCCACCTGTCCCTATCTTCCCACCTTGTTCATAACCCTTGTGACATTTGTAAGTGATTTTGTTATTTCAGGTGACTTCTTTAACATTGCACCCCCAACACCCACTCTAGAAAAGACCCCGGGCCCTGGAGAGGTGGAATGAATGCGCACAGCACCTGCAGCACTGACTGGGTGCTTGTCCAAGGGCACTGTATCTCAACCCAGTTCATCTCCCTGGCTGTCCCCAAAGTAAGGGCTGATGTTCCCATTTTACAGATAGACACTGAGCCTTCAGTGAACTGTCCAGGGACTCACAGCTCATCAGTGGTGGAGCAGGGTTCCTACCTGGCTGGAACCACAGCCTTAGCACTTCACCGTCACAAACAAGAGTGAGTGTGTGGATGGATGGGAGGATGGATGGACGAGGGGATGCGGGGATGGGCGGATGGACAGGAAGACTGATGGTGGATGAATGGGAAGATAGATGAGTGGACGGATGGATGGAAAGTAAATGGGAGGGGTTGGATGGGTGGATGGTTGGTTGACTGGATGGATGGATAGAGGGATGGGAAGATAAATGGGAGGGAGGGAGGGTGGATGGATGGATGGGAGCATAGACAGACCAACAAAGAAAAGACCAAGAGGCTGCACCTGTAAATGGTGTCACCAGTGCTGCTCCCCGGTGAGTCTCGTGACACCCTCATCTCTCCCACCATCTAAGCTGTAAAGGACATTCACGTATGAGCAGACACAGGCTTGGTGGCCCCTCAGCCCTCACCTCAGGCTGCTAAGAACACTCTGCCAGGGGATCCCCAGACCCTCCTCCCTGGAAGAGTCCCATCCCGCCCTTCCTCCTTCCCTCCCTCCACCCGGCCCAGACCTCTCCTGAGCCCCCCCCCCACCATGTGCCTGGGTCCTTCCGGGCACCACCCTCAGCCCCTGTGCCAGGCATCTGAACCTCTCCATGCCTCAAATACCACGGTTTCTACACGCAAAGCCACAGCACCTAATGCCAGCCTGTTTAATCCCTTCGAGAACAAACCATTTCCCCATGGGGGAGGGGTGCATTTCATAGCATTTTTTGTTCAGGCCCTTTGAAAGAACCAACATGGTAGGATATCTGGCAGGGCTATCCCCCCGCCCCAATTAAACTGCCTGCCATACAGTAGAACATCAGTGGGTAAACCTCGCTTCCAAGACCTTTAACCAAATCGAATCCCTTCCCTTCCCTCGGGCCCTCCCTATTGAAATATGCTCTCAGTGTAAAACACTCCCTGGATTTCAAAGAATGGAAAATACAGCCAATACTTCTTAATATTGATTAGTTTCTAATGATACTTTGATATATTAGGTTAAAGACCCCCCCTTTTAATATTTTTTAAATGGCACCAAAGCCAACATTTATGCACAGTCATTAAACTGTCACTGCACACATCCCCAACCATCTGCTGATTGCCTTGGTGACAATGTCTACACCTGCATCACCAGCCAGCTAACCCACAAGCCTGGCTCCCAGTGACCTTCCCAAAGGGGAGTATTCTAGAATCATTCTGCCTCAGTGAGGTCTGTGCACCTTTCATGTCTGAAGCATTTAAAAAATGCATTTTAATTTTATAAAACAAAATTCACTCAATGACAGACCCATGATTAACCAGGAAGAAGAGTGAATGCATGTTGGGAGGGAATAAATCTGCAATCAGACCTTGCTCACTTATCTTTTCGGTGGGACCAGAATTTGAACTCAGTGCTTTGCACTTACGAAGCAGGCGCTCTACTGCTCGAACCACACCTCCAGTCCACTTTGCTCTGGTTATTTTAGAGTTGGGGTCTTGTGAACTATTTGCCCAGGCTGGTCTTGAACTGCGATCCTCCCAATCTCAATCTCCCAAATAGCTAGGATTACAGGCGTGATTCACCAGCGCCCGGTTGGATCTTGCTCACTTCTAAAGAGAGGTCAGAAATGAACGGAAATCAGTGTCAGCTTCACAGCCAGGAACTGAAACTGACTGTCAATCATTTCTGCTCCCAGATGGTGACTCTGATCACCGATCATCCATTTATTCCACCAGCAAGGTTTCACTGAGTCCCTCTGGGGGGCCGGGCAGCAGTGAGTGCTAACATACAGGGAATAAAGGACCTGTGACCTGTTCTGAACTGTCCAGGCCAGCGGCCACCAGCCACAGTGACTCCAGAGCATCTGAAATGTGGCTTAGTGTTACTGTAAATTCACTTAACGGAGCGGCTAATTCAGACTCAGTTACTGGAACACCATGAACTTGTTTGAAACAACTGAGCAGTCACAGATCTAGAATTTGCAATGAAGATTTAGCATCCAAATGGAAATCCGCTACAAGCCCAAAACACACACTGGATTTCGAAGGACGGAAAACAGAGCTCACAAGTCCTCTCCCCAGGACATTTTCCAACGGCTTGGAAATGCAGGGTTAAGAACACGTTATTCAAGTGAATTTCACCTGCTCGTTCTTAAAATGTTTTTAATGGGACAAGAAGGCAGGTTAGTGACGTTGTCTTTGGCTCACTGACCTCTGGACCTGGCAGAGGAAGGAGATGAGTGAAGTGCTCCTCACAGCCTGGACCCCAGGCCCTGTCCCCTCCCGTGGCCCTCAGATCTGGTCTCAGCAGCTCCCAACCCCCACCCTGGATCCCTGGTAGAGGAGGATGGAGGAGGATGGAGGATGGAGGAGAATGGAGGAGGATGGAGACATGTCAACCCTCAGTCCCCACACCACACCACTCCCCGCGAAAAGAGGGAGAGGGCAGGGGACTATGGGGACAGGTACAAGGGGATCTGGCTACAAAAATGCCACGCCCAGGGGGTCCAGGTCCTCCCCCATTCACACCCAGAGACAAAGCAGGCGACAGGCATACTTACTCCCTGAAGTCACTCCCTAGGGCCCACAGCAGGACTGACCCCAAAAGCCCCACAGTGAGGCAGGGGCACCACAGCCCAGCCAGACCCCAGGGATCCCCGAACGAGGCTCAGGTGGCCGCGGAGCCTCCTTCTTCCCAGAGAGGACGCATCAGCCTGGACCCTCGCTCCCAGCCAGAGGAGGAGGGGCGGGGCAAAGAGCCAGCCAATCAGAAGCCTCCAAAAGTTATCCGCGCCCCGGGCTCTGACCAATCAGCGGGAAGCTTTGCGAGCCGCGGTCGCCGGGCGGTGCAGCCGGGTCGAAGCCCGCAACCTGGTCCACGGAGCGTGGCTTTGGCCATCGAGAGTGCGCAGCTCATCGCGGGGACATCGGTGCCACACAGCCGCCTCCCTCTTTCTGAGGTTTGGAACTTGCCTGGGCTTTCCCACTGCTTGGGGAAGCAAATGTCAGGGTGGACCTGCCAGACCTTGGGGACAGCGCTGGGACAGCGGGTGATGGTTTGCCCCTAGGACCAGGGTAAGCC